GTGGCTCGGATTGAGTTCAAATTCCAGTTGAATCCATTACATTCACTTACGTGCTAATACCCTTGGGAAAGGTATAAATCTCCTTCTTCACTACCCAACTCTGGGTAAATAGCAGGACAGACTGAGTTCTATAGCCTTGGATGGCAACTGGTCTACCGCAGAAAGAAATGGCAACCTACTGTGGGAAAAAATCTGTCTTGTCAATCATGTATTGAAAGATACATGATTGCCTAAGTGTGTGTCACGTATGGCACATAACTAACAATTTAAATATTTGGGAGATGTTTTAACAGAGGACGGAATTGTGCAACACTAAAATCTGAAGGCATAACGGAATAGCTGCCTTTCAAAAACTAAAAAAAGTATTAAGAAACTAAGAAAAGAGTACTGAACTGTTATGTAATGTCAATCCTCTGATATAGCAATAAATGCTGGACAATCTCTTCAAAGATGAAGAAACGACTTGAGTCAACAGAAATGTGGTTCTACAAAAAGGATGCTGAGAATACCATAGACTGAACATGTGGATAATGATGAAGTCTTAAAGAAAATGGAAACAAAAAAGCACACTTAGAATCAAGAAGAAATAATTGAAGTTTCTAGGTCACATAATGAGAAAAGAGGATTTGGAAAATTTGATATTCACAGGACAGATTGAAGGCAAGAGGGACAGAGAAAAACAATGCATAATCTACCTTGAGTAAATGGAAGGCTTCAGGAGAGATAAGAAAAAGACAAAATTTATTAATAGCTACAAAGGATAAGAAATTGTGGAAAGCCATGATTACCAACATCCTAAAAGAACATAGAAGAATATTATTATCCTTATTATTAAATATTACTAGCAATATTATTATCATTAATTATTGTAAAATTATTATCATTATTACTATTATAAAATACTAGCTTAAAAACCACACTCTGTGTGGACTTTTAAGCTTGCTCCTGCAGAGGGCTAATTGGGCCTCAGCTCAAAACCAAAGAGACCTCTGGTCCAGCTTAGAAAACAGCAATGATAATTTTGAAGAAATAACTTTGAATTCCTCAATTCACTCAATGGAACTTCAAAACCTCACTTTAACTCTGATTTGGGCTATAAGTCCAATTCCAACCAAAAGACTGATTTGGGCTGAAATTCCAATTCAGGCTTAAAAACGAGTTCTTCAAATCACAAACTCCATGGAACTTTAATTGAATTGAGTTTTTCAAATCAAAACTGCAGAACTTCAAAACCTCAAGTCACAAAATCTCTCACTTTAACTCTGATTCCTTGGTATTTTGAAGAAATAAAATTGATTTTCTCAATTCACAAAGTTTTAGAGATATTTTAAACTGAATTTAAAACAAAAAAAATTTTTAATACACAAAGTTTTTGTGTTACTTTAAACTCAATATAAATTAAAAACTTTTAAAATCACTAATTTTTTTTCAGTTATTTTAATATTTGAATTTTTTATTGTTCCTTCCTTATGCGGATACAAATCCTAATGGTGGATGTTCAAGCACCGGATGAAGGGCAGATTTTCAATCCCAGGATCATCTTGATTCCAAAAAACAAAAAGAATGTTTATGTAGAGAATGTGTAGCCCGAGTTAGAGGGGGTTTCAAACACACGGTTGGACAGACAGATTTTGCTGTTTATTTATTTAGATTATTAGTAACAGCTCATCTGTTCTACAAATGTGACAATAAAAGTTTGTTTATTTGAACAGAAAACAAATTCTTTCATTTTAGGCTTTAACAATTTTTGGAAATTTTATTTCCAAATAGAATGCAAACAACGTTCTAATCACTTACTGAACAATATTTCTGAAAATTTGGAAAGGCATACAGTGAGGAGAAAATAGTTGGCAGAACGATCAAAATTCAGTCAAGGAACTGTTCACTCAATACAAAAGCCACTCAAGGTAGAGGGGGTTACTGAGTTTAGGTTGTTGTGTGCATGCAAGAGGAAGAAGTAAGTGCAAATTATGAGGATATGTAGGAGAGATAAAAGTTAAGACTGTAGTGATCAGGGAAACTTCCATAGAGTAGCTATTCTTAGTGTTGTAACCTAGCGAAGGTTACTGAAAAGAATTATCACATGAAGGTTGGTAATGAATGATAATATTTATGACAAGAACACATATTAGATTCGACAGTGGTATGTAGAAGAAGTAGTCAACTGCTAGAAGTGAATCAAGTGAATTCCACAATGAATCTTCAACTGCAGACCAACATACAGTATTTACTACTGTATTTATGTGAGTGGGGACATACCCATTATTATCTGTAGGTATGCCACAATACTTAGGAAGAAGCTGCCCAAGGTGAAACTTCTTCCTTACCTATGGAATATGAAGGGAATGAGGATGAGTTGACTGTAAAGGTCTCAAGTGGTGGAACTAAAGAATAAAGCTTATCAGAACATCTGAAATAGCAAGAGAGTAGCAAGAAGCTAGCAACGTTTTTTTCTGTGGGAAAATGGTTGTAGGGTGGGAAATTATTCATCAGCCACAAGGCTATATAAACAATTTTGAACTCAAGGCTGAAAAATGAAGATTGGATAGCTCCAGATGGAGTTTATGTGCTTGATTAGAGTTTTCTCTAAATACCAATTTGTTTCTGCGTAGTGAGATAATAAGTTCCTGATTGTCTTGTGACAATTCTTCTGTCTTGGGAATGGTGAGAATGTGTCTGGCAATAAATAATTAAGCCAGGAATGACATTAACACTAGTCGGACTATTTGGGAATATTTTAGGATGATGATCTGATCTTGAATATTTGAAATCAATCATGACTCATCCGCTTGTATTGTCATATAATTAAAAGTTAGGTTTACGCTCCTTTAGTTCCAGATTTCTATTCCGTGACTTTTAATTGATCAGTCTTGTGATTTGATATTTTTTTCATTTGGCCTTTGTTGAATGACAGAATTCAACATTACATTAAATAACCTGGAAAGGGTTGATATGTCATAAACCAAACCAGATGAAATCCTTCTTGCACATATATATATATATATATATATATATATATATATATTTGCTTGTCTGAATCATCTTCAAGGAGCGAGAGCAAGATCTAAAAGGTCAGCCAATCTAACAGTGATCTCATCTCACAATCCTCACACTTTCTCCATATGTGGCCTCCCTTGTAAATCACTAGCGGGTCTTAAGCGCCACTTAAGATTATCGCGCAACATTTCATAACTGAATCAAGTAAGCTGTCAGATTCTCTTACGTTGAAACCGACAAGAGAGTCCATTATATATATATATATATATATATATATATATACAAATGTAAAAGAACAAAAAGAATATAAATTCAAACATTCATAAAATTAATGCAGAACAGAGCTCAATACAAGCATATAGCAATAACAATATAACAGCTTATAATATATATATATATATATATATATATATATATATATATATATATCTCATTGAATAATATAGACATATTTTCTCTACTTATTTTTATATTGATTCTTTCCAGTTGTCTAATCAGTTTCTTGATATTAAGATGAAATTCATCAAGGAAGGTAAGATAATTTTTTTTTAACCCAAGTACTTTCGACCTTTTCCAAAATCATCTTCAGGGGTAAATTACAAAGATAAATTTATTGTACCTGTAACAAAATCTACATTCAGTTGTGATGGTGATTTTTGAAAACATGCAAGAATAGTCAGCTCCCTTATCTAGAAACACTTGTTTTGCTAAAAATTCCATAACTACATCAGATAAATTAAAAAGTTTAAAATAACCATAACAGACCGTATTCATGCAGGTTTTCAAAGGTTTCTTGAGACAAATGGATGCCACACGCATTTTTATCATCCTTTGTCTTGTCTGTGCCAATTATTATGGTTGCCTTACTTTCCTTCTTGAAATGCATTCACCAAAATATTAGAAAAAATTATGCATATAAAAATAATTGTGGTTTCTGACATTTTCCTTATAGAAGTTAATTTGATCAAAGGCTAATTTTACATCCAATCCCATCCCATCATGCTAAGAATAAAAGAAAAGATAGATTTGAAAATTATACTGGCCTACACATATTTTAGCACAAGCCAATATATTTTTTCTCTTTACTGTTACTGCTCAGGTCCACATTTCTTCGTACTCAACTTTATTAAAAATGACCATTTATAACCAAACTAGCAGCATGGCCCAGCATTGCCCGTGCTTGATTCAAAAATCATACGACTCATACAGCAATCACTATCACTTGACTTAAAATATTTTTGCCCTTCCTTGCCTTTAAAGGAGTGCCCTTTGCTGTGCTGATGTTGCTACATGCCTTACTTCTTGCCTATCTCACACTGCAAATTTTTTTGAAGCTCTATACTGAACATTAAATCTGTTATGAAAAAAGAACTAAACAAAATGAACACAAAACAATCAGCTTTAAAAAAAGGACTCGTAACTGGAAAAACCAAATGAAAAAAGAATGGTAACAACAAATACTTTTTCACACCCAACCCAGTTCTGCGGAATCAGAATCAACGTTGAGTTTAAGCAAGCGAATGAGCCAATTGGAGTAAAGTGCCATGCAGATTTAGATTTTTCCCACTTGTGAAGAATGCAGCTATCGATTTTTTTTGCATGCTAGCATGCTAGTTAACATTTGTGTCAGTCAGCTGTTGGCTCTCACGCTGGCCAATAGAATCTGCCTGCCTATTCGTGGCAGCCAGCTATAGGCTCTCACTCTGGCCAGTACAAAATGGCCACAAGTCACATGAAAACTGCCGTAGAGGTATGAAAAAAATCGATTATTCCCACTATCGATGGGAGTTGGGAAATGCAAAGTTGGTCTTCGCCTTCCCGCTAACTTGGAGTATGTGCATGTAAATTTTGGTGCAAATCCATCAAAAATTGCGGCTGTGCATTCGTTACACACACACATATCCTGCCTTTTATAGATAGAGATTTCCCATAATGTTCAAATTAATTCTAAATGCCTCCTGCAAGAAAAAAAACAACCTGAATTTCTGATTACTCAAGAGCTTATGGCTATATCATGTTTAAACACTATTTCCCATACAATCACCGAAGTTAAGCAATGTCGAACCTGGTCAGTACTTTGATAGGTGACTGCTTGAAAATACCAGTTGCTGTAAGCTTGGATGTTCAAGTGGTGTAATGGATAATGAAAAAGATATGAAGCTATCTCTTTCCCCCAGCTATAGATTAATTAGTAAGTCTTGTATCACTAAATCATTAGTATCTAAAAAATATAAAAAGAAACAATTCTCATAATCTAAAAAATATTTTCTGTCTTTAAATAACCTGCAAAGGGTTGTTAAGCCATAGAAAATGAATCAATCAATCAATGATTGCTGAAATACCTGGTTTTTATCTTATGATAAAGCTTTTTGATTGACTTATTTGATTTTATGGCTTATCAACCTTTGCAAGTTATTTAAAGCCAGAAAATATTTTTAGATTGTAAGAATTCTTTGGAGATAAAGATTTACTGATACAAAAAGTACTAATTAACCCATAGCTGGGGGGAATAAGAAGTGGATTCCCAGGGTTATTTTCACCTAAGTAAATATAATGATTTTGACTGGAATTGGAATCAGCTCTCCAATTCCGAGCCATTATCATTTACAGTACCTGTACATCCTAGCTTGCTGCACCTGGTATTTCTAAGCAGTCTCCAATCTAGTTACTGACCAGACTTGACATTGCTTAACTGGTGATTGTATAAGAAACAGTGTTTGAATGGGATATGGCCAGCCTTATGATAATACATGATGATAATGACAACATTGTATTGTTCTTAATAATGAATGGGAACAATACCAAGTCCTTGGATATAATTACTGTCTGCACCAAACATTTGTGGGAGAAGCGAAAATTTGTCAGTGATATAATTTGATTTGGTTGATGTTAGCAATGAGCAAAGTGAAAGATTCTACCAGGACATTAAAGTTATGGAAGAACGATATCAAGGAAGTTGGGATAAAAGAATGATGGCTGACAACTGCTGGAACTTAAAATGGAATGAACCTTCTGAGCATTTATGAGCATCAAATAAGATAAATTTCTTACCATGACTATCAATTGCAATCAGTATTCGAACTTTAATCATTTCTCACATTATATAGTGTGCGGCAGAAATATCTCCCACATATATACCTCCCAGAAATACCTCCCACATAATGGTAAGACATTATTGGCAATAGTGTCTTCATCTATCATTTTTTTATTATTTTGTTTTTTTGCTAATGTTCATCCAAAACAAGGCCTTAGAGCCACTCAATTTAGAGAGTTACTATGTGGTGTTGAATTAGTATAAGAAGGGACAAGCATTAGAAGTATACAATTGAAAAAAGATTTTAGAAGGACTTGTTTCCTGTTTGGGAAACCCAAACAGGAAACAAGGGATAAACCTATACTCCTGTTCAAAAAACTGGGGAGAAGTGTGAACCGGACTATAGGTGAACCTATCTTCTCCTATTGGTGGAAGAAAGAAAAAATAGAATAAAATAATTAGTGAATAAAATTTCAGAGTTCAGGCACAGATGTTAGGCATACAGAACTGAAGCTGACTTTATAAGGAACTGGTAACCCAATTTTAAACAGGAAATGTCTTACCATGATGTGGGAGGCATTTCTGAAAGGTATATGTGAATGTTATTTCTGCTGCACCTTGTTTTCTTTTCTATTTCAAAAGTTGTGTTTTATTTCATACTAAAATTTACTTCATACTAAAAAATGAGCATTTTTTTCTTCAACTTTACAGTAATCCTACCAAATCATGACCCATTTTTACATAAGATATGGTATTGTGGAACAAGAAAACTAAAGCTAATAGTGGGCAATGGATTCAGCACCCCCAAATAATTAAGAATTAACCGAAACACTCCATATGCCATTTCAAAAAAAACATTTTTTATAAGTCTGTGTTATTTTTCATAAGGTGTGACATTTTGACATCCATCTTGCTGTAGAAGTTTTTCTGCATTGGGTATCATTTGATGCCAAGCATCTAAGAACTTGACCCACTTCATCAGCATCCAGTGTTGCACATAGAGCCTTGCCTGAAGTGTTAAGGTTTCAAGGTTGTTAAGTATGCAAGGATCTTCAAGATTGAAGCAAAACAGAAGATGCTCCATATTTTGGGATTACCATTATCTTTCTAATTACAGTAAATAAATAGTATTTCTTCCATAGAAATAACCATTCTGTTAATTGAATTTTAATTTAATTTTTTTTTTTTTTTTTTTTACATTATTCCTCATCAAAATGAATTTTCTGGCTGTTATATCCTGAAATTAATTTCAGCATTTATATACATTGTTGCACTTTAGATTAGACAATATGACTGTTATTATGATTTTTTTCGGCAGTTTTTTTATGTGATTTTTTTGCAACAAATATTTTTGTATGATAAGAATTTTTATAAATTGGAAATAAATTTGGGAATAATTGAAATTAATCGCAAAATCCAGCAAAAATCACCCATGAAATAAAAATAATTGTTTGTACAGAAAGTAAGGACCTATGTACATCAAATTGTCTTTAAATTAAGAGGCAGCAGAAGAATTATCGTTGAATTTCTAAAAAGTAAGCTTGGATATTATGGCAATATTTAAATGCAGCAATCAATTTTGAGTTCTCAGTAGTTTATTGATGCCTATTGCATCTACTGTTTCCTACCTACTGTGATGATAGTCTAATAAAGAGCCCTCTGCAAGAACTAGCTTAAATGCTGCCTAATAATGACGCATATTGATTATATATGCTCCATTGTGCTATTATTCTTAACTAAGAAATTTTTCTCCCCGGAATCGATCCTCCAGATCTACAAATCAACAATTTGCCCTTGCATGGAGTATTGCTGCCATATATGGTCTGGAGCCCCTTCTGTTTGCCTCGGGGTTCTTGATAAGATCCAGAGACAGATATGCAATGTAATTGGCCCTGTTCTGGCATCTCGTCTACAGTCACTTTCTCACAGACACGTCGTTGTCTCTCTGTCTGTTTTACAAATACTTTCATGGCAATTGCTTCGAGGAGCTGCATTCGCTGGTTCCCAGACTTCATGAGTTCAAGCGCCCTATGAGGCTGACATCCTGCTCTCACCCCTTCACTGTCGAAACTCCTAAATGTAGCTGTCTCTTCTACTCCAATAGCTTCATCTCTTGCACCTCTCGCCTGTGGAACTCCCTTCCCTATTCCAGTTTCCCTGAGAGCTATAATCTCCAACTATTCAAATGTAATGTCAATCAATATCTCCAGTTGTCTTGATCTAACCACTATCCTTCTCCTCATCCTTTCTTCTATCACTCCTATCTGATCTTGTTCCAAATCTTCTGTAACCCCTTGTGTCCTAGTGGCTTCCCGCCTTGCTTGGGGTGAAACGCTTAAAAAAAAAAAAAAAAAAAAAAAGTACTTTCCTGTATAGGTATGAGGCTGTACTAATAAATTTTGGGTTACCATTTTCACAATCTAATCAGGAAAGAGACTCTCTAAATGCAAGAACACAAAGTGACAATGTTATAAAGATTTCTAAACTTTACATACATAGCCGTAGAATTCAGCATAAGGTTTCAAGTAGATAGTACCAGTCTATAGTTCTAAGATGAGGTATTATAATTATTTACATTCTTTGGGCTGTTCTCCTCATCTTTGTAGCCATATTCATAACGTTTCGGCCATAGTATGCTCTGACCTTCTCTGGTGGATGAAATAAAGGGTTCAGTTTGAAATTCCAATCACTGGAAGAAGACTGTAGTGTACAATGGCTGAAATGTTATGAATATGGCAATGAAGATGAGGACAACAGTCCAAACAATGTAAATAATTACAATACCTCATCTCAGAAATATAAACAGATCCATCTGACTACAATCTTCAAAAATTTAAATGTAACATCAATCATCATCATTTATCTCCTCTGAATTTTCTGTTCTTTCTCTTCAATAACATTTTTCTCTGTTTCCTTCAGTCTCAGTAAGCCCTTGCATCTTAGTGGCTTTAGTGCCTTGCTTGAGGTGAAATGATTAAAATAATGGAGTACCAATTTCTTATTGAGAAATATAATTTTCCACCTGTTTAAAATTAAAGGCAGACAATATGGCCTTCACTTTAAACTAGAATGAAAATTTCAGTTTTCCTATTTGAAATTTCTGATGTATCTTAATTCTTAAGTTAATGATTCAGTATACTCATGGTGAGTTCTATGGCAATAAAATATCCATAGAAATTCCCTTATTGCATCATTAAATATTTGAGATTAACAAAATATTACAATAACAATCATGCATGTGAATGTTGATCATTATTTTAAGAAGTGGGTACAAATGAAAAGATTTAAAATTGAAAACTTTTTACATTACCCTGAAACAGCCGTTAAACACTTCTATCTTCCCTTGTTTCTTTCTTTCATTTTTTTTTACTGAAGCCGACTAATTTTTTCCCTCCTTTCCATGTGATCAAAATGGAATAGTCCATTATTTATGAGGCATTGGCAGGCCGTAATGGCCATGTGAACTGATGAAGAGAAGAACAAGCACAATAGGATCAGAAATTGAACATTAGACTTGTAAAACTCAGTCAGATATTCTAACCCTTAAGCTCTCACCACTTTGATACTTATATACATTTATCCAAGAAGCAAAGTGGACATTTGTAAGACAGTGTATTGGTAAAACAGTTTCCTCTTAGAAAGTGCTTTGTATTCTGATCAGTCATCTTCTTTTGTGAAAAAGTATGCATTGTGTTTTAAGGCTGACAAAGATCATCTACTGAGTGTTTGGATATCAAGCGAGTCTCCCGTAGATTCCCAAGAAGAGGAGAATTCAAAATTAGCACTTTCACCTATGTAAATAAATAGAACAAAATTCTGTTTGTATAGACTTGTAATTCACAACTCACAGCGGTAGAAATTTCATTTGTAGATTTATAAAAGAGTATTTTCTGCATGCATTTGTTGCACTGAAATACCACAAATTATAAGCACGTAGTCCTTCTGTACAGGGAACTTGCCACTGGCATGAGGGTGACTTCATCTTCGCTTCCAGGACCTTTGCAAAAGAGTGTGATGGACATTGAGAGGTGGGAAGATGTTGACAATCACTCATGCTGAAAAGAGAAGAGGGGAGGAACGA